CACCAACGAATTTATACCGCAAACATTAAAAATGGTTTTAAATACTTAGTGTCAAATATTTAAATTATTTCCATGCACATTTAATTCAACTGAAACGTATACCAAATTGCTACAAACATAAAACTCACAAAATAACTATCATTTAATTAAAATATCACTAAACCATGTACACATCGACTTATTTTTACTTAAAAAAACATTCCAGAATTGCACAAAAATGGCATTGCGCACACTCTTCACTATATCCATGTACACTGCTTTTTTCTCATAAATTAGAAAAATTTCACGAAAATGCATGAAAATTTTGTGAATCTTTAAATTCGGTAAAGAGAACATATATGAAATTACCTGATCGCGAAAAAGTATATACCCTTTCCAAAGATGAACATTTTCACGTATAAAATAAATAAAATATCCAAAAACTTTTACCTCTAAATCATCTATTATATTATAAACGTCACCAACAAATTCATACCGCAAGCATTACAAATACTTAGTGTCAAATATTTAAATTATTGCCATGCATGTTTACTTCCACTGAAACGTATACCAAATTCCTACAAACATATAATTCACAAAATAACTATCATTTAATTAAAATATAATTAAATTAAAAAACACTACTTAAAATATAAATAAGCACATACATTAAATTAATAAAAATTAGCTTACAATCCTAATTACTTTAAACTAAATCATTGCTAATAACAATTTTCCAATAATACCATATTACTTTATTTACTCCTTACATTTAGAACAATGCATAAAAATATCATCCACAAATAATTAAAAATACTTACTTACCTAATCGTCTTCAGAATCTTGATTACATGGCGGATAAACTTTTCTTATATATTAAATAATCCAGTAGTCAACTGGCATTCTATTCACCCACTAATAAGAAATTAATAAAATTTCCCCCATACTCAAACGACTTTCAGCAAACCACGTACCTTTCCTTACACTCCGTTTCACAAAATGTCCATTTTCACCAGATTTCTTGCACCACCATTCAAACTTATCTGTAATATCCTTCCTTTCACACAATCTCATTTCATTCCCACATGTTGGACATTCATACTTATCTGCAATTAATCCTACACTTATGCACCATTCAACCAATTCTTTTGAATTATCAGATAAATGCATTAAAAATTTAGAATTCACTTTAGATAGCGCCATGCAATCCAAAAATTAATCAACACTCTTTCACACAATACACAATGAAGCTTAATACAGAATAATATAGACTACAGATATTTTTCAAATTTTACCCCCTTTTCCGATTAAAGAACTGTAATTCGTTCATTAATGTCACATGAAATATCTCATGATCTCTCATTTCCCTCACACAAAATAATGCGTAATCGGGAACTGAGTACTTCTCACATTATTCCCAAAGTCCTAGGTAGTAACCTTTATCGCCTCCAAAATGTCGCCAAACTACCTGTTACCATATTCCAAAGATTAGCCGAAGCTTGTTCTAATAAGTGTTTTTTCTTAAGCTCATTAAGGTGTATTAAACCTGAGAAAACTTCTCATTGAGTATTTCATTTAATTATAATTATAAATATTAAAAATAATTATAAAGCTATATATATTTCTCCCATTTATTGTATATATTAAGTTTCAAATGTTCACTTTTCATAGCTTGATTTCATCACATTTTTATAGATTGCTCAAAATTTTTTTGGTTTCTTGATTGTTATTTTATAGAATGTCCTGTGTGTGAACACTGACCACAGGTGCAATCACTGTTATGTGTGTTGGCTATACTTATGATGTAATGGAATAAAATCTTAAATTCCAAAGGCTCATGCATGAGCCTTAAGGACATCCTCTGTATGTTTGTGATTTTGTCTGGTAGCTGCTAGGAGCCATCATTCTCCATCAGCTATCTGTATGCTGTTATATTGGATAAGGCTAATTTCATTTCTGAAATATTCCATTATTTGATGGAATAAGTAGGGTTGGCATTTGACTTTCCTGACTGCTTTTAGGCTACCTGGCCAACACCATGAGTCGAATGCACTGCAAATCCAGGTAGGGGACTGCAGATTAGGGATTATTATCTTTGTTATTTTTAACACTTTGATTCAGAAAGTGAGTGTTGCAGAGGTTTGAGTATCTTGGGCAAAAGCTGAAGTGGTTTGGGCTAATAGTGTTAGCTTTGTGAATATGATGTTTAATTCTTGTTGTGATAATTTTTTTGAAAGTTTGCCTGTTGAGTGTTGGAGAATAATGGGATAATAAGGATTGGGCTTTACATTATCTTTGCTTTTCTCTGCAAAAGGCACTGTTTGGTCTATTTTCAGACAATCTGTAAAACTGAAAAGTTGTAGGCATTTGTTGGAGAATTTTCTGGAAAAGGACGGGCAGGCTTTTGTGCATCCATTTGATTATTCTGTTATCAGTTTCATTGGGTCATTGTTGCTGATTTTAGTGTTTGTGTTTTTGTGGGAGTTTTATGTTTTTATGTGCGTAATACTTTTGTCCACCAACTGTATTTAAAAACATATATGCTGCTTTTTCCTTTGAATCTTTCATTATATATTTTTTAAATTGTTTTTTTAATGTTATTGGTAATCTCATTCAGAATGTTAGAACTGTTGCTTATGTTAATTCTGTTTTCTGGTGGCAGTGATATAATGTTTTTGTACAATTTATTATGCTTAATGGTCTTCTTATGATATGACTCTTCCAGTTTGAAAGTGATATATTTACGATCTGCTAAGGAATTTCCTCTAGTTTTATGACCAGTTTTGAATCTTATTAGTAATGTTAGCTGATGGTCACCCTAGGTCTGGTCATCTTTTACTGTTTACATTTTCAAACATTGGGATGGAATTAGAAATGTTGGGAATGGTAAGGTTGTAATGAAGTTTTCCGATCTATTTCTTCTTTCATTAGTATCGGAGTAACCTTATATAGTGTTGTGAAAATTAAAATCTCTAGTATTAATACAGTGAAGTATGAGAGTAACATATTTTATATTGGTTGTGTTATTTCTTCTTCTGAGTTTGCATATGCAGATGATATGAGAAGTTGCTTATTTTCATTGATCATCATTTCTAAATATTATCATTGGAGGTCATTTGTTGATTAGATAAATTATTCCAAGTTGTGCATCATGCGTGCTAAAAGTGAGACTTGAATTACATCTAGGCTGTTTATTATATTGCTTAGGTGACCTCCTTTGCTGTACAGTTATGTCAAAATGAAATTGAATTTATATTTTGCTTGAGTCGATGAGAGGTAAGAAGTAGTAGATGCATGCTGAAGATTAATTTTCGGAAATTTTATGACTTCTGTACTGACACCTGATACGGAATGTTGGAAAATAATCAGTATTTTTGAGAGTAGCTTCTGATTCTTTATATTCATTCATTATTTCTTCTGTGTGTTCTACACATATTTGAGTAGCCTGAATGTACAGTTGGAGTTTGGATTGGTAGAGGTCATTGGAGCAGCTGATGCTGTAGGGTTCTGAATTGTTAATGGAATTTCACTAAACAGAACACTTTATAGGACATTTTGGACACTTTGTGTGTACTATTTCTGCAGCTACTTTTGTGTTTAATCTTTGATTGACAATTTTGAGGTATTCTTTTGTGTTGCATTTTGTTACTGAAGCGTCATTCTGTATAGGGTGCACCATATGTAATTTTGATCCTACGTTATTTAGTAGTGGTAACTTTGATATTTTTTCTTTTAATTGATTATTTCTTTGTTAGCTTTTAGGGTATATAAATAATGATGGTTTTAATTGGCTTTGGGCCAGCTTCTAGATAGGGTGTTTGAAATTGTGCTGCTGCTGTTCTATAATATTGGATGTTGTATTCTTAATGTATTTTTGGTATAACATTTATATTTACAGATAAATGTTATACTACAGCAGTGACAGCAGATAAATGCATTCACTTGCTGGAAAACTGCATTTTTTTTGTCTTTTATTGTGTCAATCAATTTTTCTTTTACTAGAGTCACTAGGTATGATTGTTCAGAGTTTTTTGAATTTATAGCAGTAACCCATATTGTATATCTCTTTAATTCTTTGAGCTTTTAGAAATAAGGCTGTAGAGAAATATTCTTCATTGTTTGTTATTTGATCACAGGTATGTAATTATGTAGTCATTTTATAACCTTAATACAGTATTGCTTTTTATATATATATATATATATAATAAATTATATTTTTACATATCACAACGATCTTCAATTCAGAGAACTTAGTTTCCAAAAGGCCACCTGCATTCCATCGAAGGATCCTTAAGATAAATGATTCATGTTGCCAGGGCAACTTGAAAGCGAGTGGCCATAGCCTCCAAGTTGTCACTCATTTAGCATCACCCAGGGGGCATGCGCAACTTTAGGAATGTCACGAATGCCAGTTTATTTCTCCAGCTATATTGGATGGCCAGAGATCTTATGTCCTGAGTACACAGTTGTTTTGCCTGTAATCACTGAGGTTTATTTTTAAGATTTTAATTGTGAAATTTTTGTCTTAATTTTTTGATTTTGTGAAGATTATAATGTAATTCTCAAGTGTTTTTAACATTTTCGTCATGAAATTTTGAATTTAATTTTTTTTGGGGGGGAGGGGGGCAAGTGGCGTGATGTAAATGGATTGATTTCCAAATAAAGCCATAAGAAACAACAAAAACTTTTACATATCTTGTATTATCATCTTTCTGAGAGATACTGCTAGAAGGATGTGAAAAATGTTCCTTTGGATACAAATGTGGAAGATTTAAAAAAATTTTCAGAACGACAATGATTTAAAGTATGCATATCTGAAAAGGAAGGGGGGAAATAGCTGTACTGTTTTTTTATCTGGCAATTTTTTAATTATTTTTTAACTGAAGATTATCAGATAAAAAAAGAAATGTTAATACAATACTTATTTTAATATTAAATTAAAAATGTGCTAAGAACTCAACTTTTACATGAATATATCAGATTGCTTACAAACCTTAAATTTTTTATTTGTTTGTTTATAGTTGCGCAGAGAAGGTGTCAGATTATTTATCTTATGGTACCAAATATTAGGTGAAAACGCACCTGAGGAACTAGATGCAATTTTTATGTCATTAGTTCCTGGCATAATACCTGGTGTTCCTAATCCATATATGATTACACAGAGTTCAAATCAAAATCATGGACTTTTCAACAGAGGTTCAACGACAGTGGAAGCCTATCAAGAAACTTCTACATTCTATGCAAGCACAACAGATGTAGCAGAAAGTGGTAATATTTAATTTTTCATGTTTTTCTTCTCTTCTTTTTCCCTTCCTTTGGTACATATATAAGTTATATGTGTACAAAGTTAGATAATTTGCATTTTTATTTATAAATTTTGACATAATGTTTACCGTCTCTTTTTGCACTAAAAAATTATTCTTAGCATTGAATTTTTTTTAATCTGTAATTTCTTTTTGCTTTCAGGTCCAGTGTGCCCTATTGAAATAACACCAATTTTGCCTCCTCTGAGTGGAGAGCAAATGCCTGAAGATTCAACTCGTTTTTATTTAGATTGTTTATTAGAGTTTATGGTTTCTCAGGTAAGAACATATCTAATGCATAGGAATTTGGCATCTGTTTTTTAATAAGAATTTCATTTTAGGTAGTAAAATATTTTTGCAATGATTTAATCTAATATATATTGCCTGGTTAATTGAAAAGTGAATACTATTTTATTTCATTGTGCAAGAAACATGTAATCACTACATATTATTTGGTTGTTTCATTTCATATGTATGTAAATGGACATACTGAATTTTAAGAACTTTTCTCTTAGCTAGGTGCAAATGTCACAAGTATCAGCCTTTTTTGTTTTGGCAATGCCACATCATGCCATCTTTGCTTAAATAACTAATCATGACTAATCTTTTGTGCTTTGCTGAAGGTAAAGTACTAAATTTTATTTAGTGTGTGATATGTTTTAAAAAGCTAATAATCTGAATGGAAAGTATTCAGAATCATTAAATGGGGTTTGGGGAATTTTAGGTTTTGGGTTATATTTCAGAAGAATGACAAAAATGCTGATTTCAGTCATTTTAGATTATATTTGTGAAATATTATTAGAGAGTTTGCTCTTCAGATATGAGAAAAGTGTATGATTTGTGATTATGTATTTAATTTATATGTTTATCTTATTTGAGTTAAAAATTTTTTGCATGTTGATTTCATATGTAAAAGTGTGCATGTGGCATATATATCTATATATATATATAATATTGTAATAATGAACAATGCATAAAATTAAAAATGTTAATTATGCCCTAGAATCATAAACCATAAAGAATCAAAGATAATTCAGCATGAAAATAATTTTTCAAGAGAATAAAAAAATCAAATTTTCTCAAAGTGTACAGAATGTAAATAAAATACCTGTCAAGCATGAACTTAGCCTAGAAAAATGAAAATTTTAAAAGAAAAAACAAAAGAAAAAAATTTAAAGAAAGACAGAGTTAAGGGAAATTTTAGGATTAGATATGGAAAGAGTTATTAAATCTGTACTTGAAAAACTTCCTGGTTAAAGGGTACCATTCATATAGTGATTGTTTTTTTCATGTCTCATCATTGGCAAATGAACTCTTTAGACTTGGAGCAAATACTTGTAGGACTGTAAAGAAAGGAATTAAAATCTTTCTGCCACCCAGAATGGAAATTTGTCAGATGTTAGTTTTGCAGGGGGGGGGGGATCTGAGGGCCTTTCTGATTTTACATTATGTCCCAAGGGGCCTTTTTTTAACGTTTTGTATGTTATCTTTACTCATTAAATATTGTGTTCTTCGCTCTTAAACCATAAAATTCAGTTCAACAGTAATATCATAAAATAATTTTAAAACGAGCGTTATCTTTAAAATTTCCGATATACAGTCTCATGTCCTGGAGATAAAAATGCTTTTTCCTTACAGTATTGCTATTGCTCGCTTTTAAATCATTGAGTTTGTTAACCAAAAATTCGTTAATGTTATACAAAATAGGAAATAGGTAATAAAACAAATTCCAAACTTGGGCTTCCAGATGCCCATATTTGGGTGGAAACGTACATTATTCAAAATTTGATGGGTCTATGTACCATTGTTTATCACAATGTTAGAATCATACATACATTTATGCAGATTCTTCATTATTTAATTCCTTTAAATATAATACAGGGCTCTAATATTTGGTGGCAACAATTTGAAAAGTAAACCTACATTTATAGTAAACCAAAGCTAATTGCCAAAATGAAATTAATAGTCCTTCTGGGCAAATTGACCATATTACATCTAAAGGGAATTTTTTTGACGTTTTGTGTGTTACCTTTATATATTGAATATAATGTTCTTCGCACTTAAACCACAAAATTAAATTCAACAGATATATCGCAAAATAATTTTAAAATGATCATATCTTTAGGATTTCCGATACACAGTCTCACACACTGGAGATAAAAGTGTCCCCCCCCCCCCGTACAGTGTTGCCGTTGCTCACTTTGAAGTCACTGAGTTTGTTAATCAAAAATTCGTGTTACAAAAGAAACAATAATAAATAAAAGTGTTACAAAATATGAAATCAATAATAAAACAGATTTCAAATTCCAAATTCAGGCTTGCAGATGCCCATATTCAGTGGAAGATTACATTGTTCAAAATTTGATGTCTCTAGGTATTGTTGCTTTATCACAATGCAAGAAACATACATTTATGCAGATTCTTCATTATTAAATTTCTTTAAATATAACACAGGCCTCTAATATTTGGCAACAATTTGAAAAGTGAACCGAAATTTATATTGAACCAATGAAAAATGCTAAAATGAAATTAATAGCCATTCTGAGCTAACACTGTTTGGGCTAAAAACCTAAACTTAACTTGTTTCAAAGATAGGTGAGAAGTGATTTATTCAAATGAAAGCTCTAAGAAAGTGTGACAGCAATACTTTATCTATTTGCACTCCTGTAAAAGTCTTTCAAAAAGGCAAGTGGGTTATTATGAATGTAAAATTGTAATATAGGACTGTGTATAGATCTCTGCTTTAAAATATATCACACTAAAAATAAATTTTAAATAAAAGGTTTAGTTGTGAAATGTTCAGTGTATTTATTCACTAACAAGTAAGTAAATACTGAAAAAAAATTTAATGCGCAATTTAATAATAATAATAAAAAAACTTAGGTATATGAAGTATGTAAAAAGTGTATACCACATAAACTGAAGAGCCAAAACATTATGACCACCTATTGAGTAACCCATTGGGCGACCTATGTTCTGCAAAACAGCTGCAACTCACTTTGGCATGGATGCTGCAAGTTCTAGGTAGATGACTGGAAACAGTTTGTACCAAATATCTAAGCAGCGGTCGTGCAAAATTGAGATATTCCCACATGCTGGTGTTTGAGCTCTGAGCTGCCGTTCCATGACATCCTAAATGTGCTCTATCGAGTTAAGATCTGGCAAGTTAAGTGGCCGGGACATTAATTGGGATTCATCTTTATGCTTCTGGAATCACTCCAACAGAATTTGAGCCTTATAACATCCTGCTGGAAAATTCCATTTCCAGTTGAGAAGATGGATGCCATGTATGGGTGCAGCTGATAGTCTGCAGCTTTCATGGTCTGTTCTACCTCAACTAAGGATCCCAGAGCCACCCATGAGAATGTCTCCCAATAATACTCCCATCACCAACCTGTGTATAATCTGCTGTACCGAAGGGGGAGGAGGGACTGTTCACCTAGAAAACAGTGCAATTGTCTTCCATTTATCCATGGCCCAGTCTTAATGTATTTGGCCCCACTTTAGACATAGTTGAGAATGACGCTTGGTCAACAAAGGTGCACGAGTGGGACATCTGCTGCACTGTCCCATATGCAACAGTGTCCACTGAACTGTGTGCTTCGAAACACTTGCACTTGGCCCTGCACTGTATTAAGCTGTCGGCTGAGCCCTGTCTGGCAAGTAAGACAGTCTCCATTATTTTGTTTCTTTGATGACGCATAGATGTACATCACCTTGATGTCTGTTGGTGGTTTCACCATCATTTATCTGCTTTGCTTAAATACTAACAAAGGCAGATCACGAACAACCTACCAGTTGTGCAGTTTGAGAAATACTCATGCCGGGCCATTAATCTGCTCTCTATCAAATGCGTTTAGATCAGCAACCTTTCTCATCACTCATAAAAGTAAGTGCAAGAATGATTTCTTACCTTCTTCAGCAGCAGTTAAATACCATTTTTAATCAGATGTCCTCCATGTTATCCAGATTAGTTCATTGAAAAATGTGAGGATGGTCATAATGTTTTAGTTTATCAGTATATATATTCTGCAAATCAGTATTAAACAAGTGTTCATCTTTTCACAATTTCATGGGTTTAGGCTTAGTAGCGAAAACCGCTCTGACTCTGGAGAGATGCCCACGAAAGAAGTTGGCCCCGGTGGTATGTGTGCATTTGTGACTTCTGTTGCAAAAGGGTTTCTAAAGAATATACATTAAGTTAACCAAGAATAAGTCTCATTAGCAGTAGGATAAGTCTCATTAGTAATGCTTTACAAAGGAAGAAAAATGTAAATGATGCTTGTTTAGATGGAGCACACACTAAAAAAAATGACATGCTTTTAGTTCCAAAGATAATTTTAAGATATTGGTTGTCAAAGCTGAAATTGTATTACTGCTGCTTCACAAGGTAGTTCCAAGCTAAGTTCAAATGAATAAAGTAAATAAATTTCCACTAAGACAAAGAATATCTATTGTCCAGCTAGTTCTGCACATAAAATTCCTTATATCAAATTACATTTTTATGTGTGATGTATTAAATGACAGAAAATAAAAATTGCTAAAATTTTGGAAGCTTTGCTAGGAAGAAAGAAATCTTCTTTTTCCAAAGTATACATTTAGCATAGTATTCTCATAAAATCTAAATATTAATAAAGAAAGAAATTAAACAAAAATTGTTAAGAAAGCATTTTGTAATATTTTTGTTTTTAAGTACTTTGGTCTTTATGCATTCCTGTTAAATTTGTGTTATAGCTTACTTTTGATTTTTAGGTTTGTAAAGTTGAGTGGAGGGAGAAAACTGAAGCTAGATACATGAAATGTTTTTATTTCATATTTGAGAAATTTAAAAAGCATTATTTACCTCATTTATTCCCCAGTTATTCTTATACTACGAATTTGTTTTCTCCATTATTAGGTGAGTTACATATATCAGTTGTGTTATTTTATATGCACTTATTTTTTTATATTAAATACTTTAAAAAGGAAATTATTGTTTCATACAGTATTTATGCAGACCAAATAGTAAATGTCTCAGATATTTTTCAGTGCACATTTTAAACTTTTATGGAAAATTTATGTTTAGATGTCATCTGGTATATTTTTTTTACATTTAGATTAAATATTTAAAGCAACAGAAACTATAATAATAAACTATTCATTTTATTAAAAACTGCTGTAACTTTATATACTAATTTATGAGCAAAACTGTTTATAGTTTTTCTTAGTAAGCTTTTTTTTTTTTAGTGCATTTTTAAAAATACTTTTCTTAACCACATAGTGTGTGTTTCCTAGTGTACTGAAAAGTAGATTTAATGGTCGCACATGCTGCAGTTACAAGAGGCCCCATTTTTTCCAGGGGCTTCCAGCTCATTAGATAGCTTTAAAGAATTGGTAAACATATCTTATATACTCAAATAAGAAGTAAAGTGTTTGAATGTAACTGCTATATTTTTATAGTTTCAGAAATTTATAATTAAAAATGCATTCTTTTTATTTTTGTGCTAATAATTTTTTTTTTTTTTTTTTTTTTTTAAGATTTGCCTGTGTTACGTTATGAAAGAGATATTCGAATTGAACATGATAATACTAGATTTCCCCATAAAGACACTCTTTATCATTGTCAATCAACAGTTATACGTTGGGTGACTCATTTCACACAGTGCATGAAAAAGGCAAATGTGACATTCCAGCAACCTGTACTTCCTGAAACGTAGGTATTTGTTTTCTTCTAATGTTATAAAAAATGAACTAAATTCTTACATGAAAAGAAAATTGTTCTTGATAAATTTTCTTTAAGAATTTTTGTTGCTAAAATATTTTGAATCAGACATTAAAATCAAATTGTTAGATTGCTGTTTAATATGAGTTTGTAGTTCTTTATATTAAAGAAGAATTTTTATTTTTTAAAAAATCTTTTAATCCCTTTTTGTTATCAAAGATCATTAATTCATAGTTTACATGAGTAGCTCAGTGCAGTTAACACATTAAAGTGTATCGTGCATAAAATTTGTTTGTGGTGCAGTAATTTACTTTTTATTATATTTATCACTGAATTTAGATTTGTAATCATAGGAATTATGTGTTCATATATATATATATGTGTGGGGGGGGGTTTGTTTTCATTCTAAATCACTTATTTTAGTTTTTTTAAATTCTGTGAGTAGTATATTGAGAATTAATGTGTATCATTAACTGCTTCTCATGTTTTTATAATATTAGAATAGAAATACCAAAACATTTTCTGTAAGTTAAATTTGATTATTTCATAAACATCTCATTTCATGAATCTATAAATCTTACTATTTTAAGTTATATAATTTTAATTCATAGTGATATCTAACAATTAATCACAACTTTGTTTCTTATAATATATTTAAGTTATGTGAATAATTTTATTTAAGATTTCTTCAGTTATATTAGAAAATGTATTTTAAAATTTGAGGAATCGTCACATTCTATGATATGCCTTGAAACTCTTTGATATATATATATACATATACGCATCAAGGTCATAAAAGCATTTCTCTGAACCCCCAGGGGCCCATTCAACCAATGAAAATGAAATTTCAGATATTATTATTTGAAGGTATGTGTTTGCAATTGTCATGGTTTAAAACAATAAAGCTTTCACAGTTAGTGAAAAAATTTTGAAATTTTTGAATGGCAACACCTATTTTTTTCCTGCATGGATTGATCAGCCCACTGGAAAACATAAATGACTTTGGAATGATATACGTATGATGTAAATTGTGAGCATAAAACATTTGCAAAGAAGAGCATTGCAAAGGACCAATGACAATACAAGAGAAAAGGGAGAGGGAAAAAAAAAATATCGGAATTCCAAGTTTTCATTTTGCTCACCCTTACAAACGATAATGCATTACGTGCTGGATATTATTGATAGCAATGACAAATGTAATATGGCAGCAGGAATCTGTATAACTTAATGTTTTTTATCATCTTTCAGTTCTGATTAATCTCGTGGATTTGATCTGTACACCTTAGATTTCAGATAGCCTCAGAACCAGAATCTATCGGATTGAGGTCAAGGGATAACAGTGACCATGTCAGCATCATTTTGAAAATTTAAATACAGTCAGAAGTCGTTAATTCGGACACCCATAATCCGGACCTCAAAGCTACGAACTTTCTGCGCATGCGTCGTTAACGCATGCGCATAGGCATTTATGCATGCGTGTAAGACCTTTACGGCTGCGAATATGCGTGTGCGCATGCGCATAATACGTTTATGCATGTGCGTTTAACGTATAATGGGCGCTATAAGTAAGCTAAAATTAGTTAATGTTGCAGATTCAGTTATGTTGTTAATGCTATTTCAGTTAATGTTGCAGATTGCGTTGTTCCTTAATCTTCGAATTGGATCCGGCTTATTATTTTTTGCAGACTGTTAGAGCAATTTTATAAAAGTAAGCTTGAACTTTCGATTATGTCAAATAGAATTTCCAATATATATTTACTAATATGTAAAGGATCTACAAAACGAAAGTATGTTTCAAAGTCCATTAAACAAAAAGTGGAATTGCTGCAAAAAATGGATAAAGGCATAATCCTTTGTTTATCTAACCATTCCGAAATCTGTTTATCAATTTCACGCTGCTCTGCGGCGGGGGGCAATGAATTGAAAGTTCATCTGTCAGCACTATCCTTATCTTCAGGGCAGACGTTTGTATTTTATTTGGCTTATAATTCCTTACTAAATGTAGTATTTCATCTCAATGTACTCCGTCTTTGATATGATTTAAATCAAATTCCTCGTCATTATAATTAATTTCCGATATTGAAGAAAGTGACACAGAGGTTATTGAAAACAAAAAAATTTCGATTGGCAAATTAGTCGGTATTCTCGACACAGCAATTATAGGACTTGAACAGCGGAACTTTGTAACTGAACAAGAAATTATGTCTGTTTATAGAATTAAAGAGAAAGTATTATCACATAAAACGAAGCAACTTAAACAACTTACATTGAAAGAACTGTTTAATAAAGTAAACAAATAAATATTTAGCTTTTTCTTTTTATAAATTTTGATACCCTTTAGATCATAATTGCTCTTTATTTTATAAACTACGATTTCATATTTTTAATTTTATAATTTCTGCATGCCATCTTACTAGATTTAAACTGATGATCTATAATCCGGAATCGCCGAAGTCCCGACGAGTCCGGATTAACGACTTTGACTGTACATAATTTAAATTGCATTATTTCCGTATATTAACATCTTATATCAGCATCTTATATCAGCATGAATATTTTATTCTCTATTGCTTACTCTTTATGAATTCTTGACAAAATTTTATGAATGAATATTTCAAAAAAAATACTCATATTATACCTCCATTTCTTTGAAATTTAGTAGAGATTAAAAGTATGCCTATATTAAATTTAGTTTTAAATATTATTTATCTTTAAATTGGTTTTATCTGTTTGGTTGTGACTAGTTGCAAATTTATTGTGATATAAATTTGTATTAAAAATCACACCGATGTGCTACTTTTTTGATTATTCAAGAAAATTTTGAACGAAGCTTTTTCTTGATTATTTAAAAGATGTGAACAAGAATTAATTGCTTGGTTTCCATCTTTTATTTTTTTTTTTTATTTAATAGTTGCATATATGGAATGTGTAATAGTTAAACCATTTTTACAATTATATTTTATTTCCCCTCCTTGAGGGAAGGAAGACTCTCAATGGATAGATTACTAATATGTATAATGATTACTGAAAGAAAGTTTAAAATATTTGCTCTATTTTACTTATTTATTTTTAAACCAGATATAAAAGAAAACCGTGTTCTATTCCTCTCATAAAGGTCAGTATAGAGCACCTAAAATTAATACTGTACTTTCAGTTAAATGATATCTTGTGCACTTTCTAGATAGATAAGAACTCTTCAATTAGATTCAGAATTTTAATCATATGAGTACTTACTGAGAGTCTTGAAAGTGAAGAAGAAAGAAATAGTAATTAGTGTGTATGTGAAATTATTACTATGTATTGCTTATTATTTATTATTATTATGTATTGCTTAGATCAGGGGCTCCCAAAGTGGGTGCCATGAAGTAAGGCCAAGGGTGCCATGAGGCAGGCACCCCTTGCCTTGCATCATGGAGAACTCTGGGCTTGCATCACAGAGACTTGCGTTGAACACTTGGCCATATTTTTCATTAGTTATATGTTCATTAATTTATCATTTATTATACATTCATTAATTTTTATTCCATTTCTTGAAGTAATAGTTCCTTAAGATTTCTTTAATACTAATATTTCAGTTGTTCATCTAATGTCATTCAAATTACATTTTTAACATTTTTATTTCTCTTTTTAATCTAAAGTAATTCTTACTCTCAGTTTCATTTCTTAAAGCAATATTTTATTTTATTGCTTAGTTCTTTCAATTTGCAAATAATTCTGTGTTATTGCATCATATTTGTATTAAATTACTTTTAATACAAATATTATTTTTCGTATATTTTTTGCACCTGTTACTTCCTGTCACAAAATTGCTATATTTGTCTTCTCAGCATTGGCATCTGTTGACATTTCGTTTTTCTGCATGCGATTGTCTATTGAACTCATATGTGCAGAAAAGTTATATAGTCTTAAACTCGTGATTTTGGTGAAATGTTGCAATTAATGAGCCCTTACTAATATTTCACAAAATGAAAATAATTTTATTAAACGAGCAAACTGATAGTAATAATAATTTGAGTGATAAGGCATCAACAACTGGCAGAGGAGAAAAGAAGCAAAAGTTTCATAACTCAACTTAAAAACAATTTTATTAATCAAAATAAGCACCAGCTGAATCAATGCATTTTTGCCAAGGAGGTATAAGTTTATTTATGCTGGTAGAATAAAATTCTGGAGTTCTGAATGCGATAAAGTTGTTAAAGGCGTTTTTGGACTCGTCTTGGTTTCTGATGCATTATTCTTCTGCAGAATGTTATCCAGATGTTTGAAAAAGTGGTAATCAGTCGCCGAGAGGTCAGGCGAATATGGAGGAAGAGGGAGAGTTTCGTATCCCAATTTGTTCAATTTCTGTAGGGTCAGTTGCACTACGTGCGGCTGTGCGTTGTCATGGAGAAGAACTGGCCCCTTTCTGTTGACCAATGCCGGGCACATGCATTGCAATTTTTGGTGCATTTCATCGATTTGCCGACCGTAATCGTTTTGCCCAGATTTAGGAAGCTGTGGTACTGTAGACCACCAAACAGTCACCATAATTTTCTTTTGGTGCAAATTTGGTTTTGGAAAGTGTTGTGTTGTCTGACCGCGGTCCAACCACTAAGCCGAATGTCACGGGTTATTATAGAGAATCCACTTTTCATCGCATGTAACAATTCGATCAAGAAAAGGGTCGTTTTTGCTGTGAAGAAGGTTCTTCCAGGTCAAATTCTCCACGATGAAACTTTTGATACCACTGTTGAACTGTAGATTCCATAACACTTTTCTCGCCCCATAATTTGTTGACATTTCAAGCCATTTGTGTTGCGCTGTGGCCTAGCTTGTACTCATAAAAGTAAATTTGCCGAAAATCCCGTTTTGACATCTAAACGAAAACAACTAGTAAATATTTTTGAAAATAATTTTGGAACAAAATGATTATTATAGAAATATAGGGTGAAAATAGAGCTTCACAATGATATATAAACCGATACAATTCAAAATATATTTGTTGTTAAAAATGTACAAGAAAGATAAACAATTGCAGAAACCTGCATTATTTTCTGAACAACCCAATAATTAAGTCATTGTTCTACAGGAATTTCTGTCCCTTTTCATCTAGCACCTCACAAAGCTCACTGATTATTTGTTTGCAAAATACTATGTGGAAGATAATGTAAAAAAAATTATATTGATCTAAGATTCCTTTCATTCATAAGCACACCAGTAATTTACTTCATGAGATGATGAGAGTTTAATTGAACTCTTTTACGATATCATTCTGAAAACAAAATTTGCTCGCTCAGATTTGATGGAGTTTTAGATTTCAATCAAAATTGAGTATCCAACTTTAAGTTCTAAAGTTCTAAGAATCCTCATTCCCTTTGTGATACTTTATCTATATGAAGCTGGATTTTATGCTGCCACTGTAGTAAGGACCAAATACCATTCAAAATTCATTGTGGAGCAAGAAATGAGAATAGCTGTGTCAATCCTTCTTCCACAATTTGAGAAACTGTGTGGAGATCAACAAGTTCGCCTGTCACATTGACCTCTTAATCTGCCTCTTAATTTGACTCTTAAGTCTCCTCTGACCTCTTAAGAGCGGAATGGGAAAACAACAAAACTGCAAGTGCATCGCATATCGAAAAAATTTGGGAACCCCTGGCTTTAAGTACATTGTGTTTTTGAAAATAGTATTTTAACACATTTTATTCTTAATATACTTCCAGTTTTATATATGAAAGGATTTATTTAGGTTTCATAATTTTTGTGGTAATTTTCTTAATTGTGAATTATATAGGCCTGAGCAAAATGAATCTAACCGTCCAGCTGCTCCATCAGATTCGGATAACCAGTCAACAACTAACCTCTTAACTACTTCAACATTTGGTTTGGAAAGAGATTCAAGCAGCACATCTTTAGGAAATGATGATCTCTCTTTTCGTGATTATGCTGTTGTTAAAGAAACATTATATTCTAGTCGTGAAAATGTTAACATGGTGAATGAAATTTTTCGACAGGTAATTTATTTGTAAATATTACTAATTCTCAGCCTAATATATGATAGGGATATTGGGAAAAGCATTCTGAGATAATGTATTATTAAGACAAAAAAGATAAATTTTCTGTGTTTCATCAGAATAAGTACAATAATACGTTATTATTATTCATTGAGTTCAATGATGTTGAGCATTTTTTTTCTTTGAACATTTAAGCTAGTTTTCTGAAAGACCTTTTTTCCCCTTATTCAGAAGATCTTTCGTATATAATTCTGAAATTCTTCAAGAATAATTTTGAAAAGAAACCTGGGAGAAATACATCTGTATATTCTGAAACTGGTGTATTTTCTCTTCCGTAATCTGTCTCTAAAAAGATAGCATGAATTTGGTTGTGTAATGTTTCATCTATTATCAGTTATAAAGATATGAAAATTAATTTCCTTTTAGTTGACAGAAATGAATTTTCACCAGTTTATGTATTTTCTTTAAATATTCTGTTTTATGTGGCAGAATATAATTATTAATTTTGTCTAATTAATTTTTTGATGAAAGTTTCAACTATGCTCATTCAGCATCTAAAGATTATCTTTCTTGTCTCCTTAGTTATAGAATATGTCTATTTTTAGAGATGAAAATATTTTAAAAATGATTCAGAATTGTTAGGTACAATATATTTATTTGAAATGAAATGATTAGTATCTTTCAAGTTGGGAATTTGAAAGTCTTCTGTTAGATAAAAAATATTTCCATGGAAATAGATGAAACCATGCATAGATGAATTTGCAAGTTTTTTTTTTTTTTTTTTTTTAGTATAATGTAGAATACTTTTATGCTGCCATTGTAGTAAGGACCAAATACCATTCAAAATTCATTGTGGAGCAAGAAATGAGAAGTTTAATCAAAAGAGTTTTAATTGAAGCTGTAGGAATATTAATTTACCAGTTTATTAGGAATTAATTATCTTATAATGAAATTTTACCTGCTTTCTGATTAGTGAAAAAATATTTTAAGCTGCAATAAAAATCGCAATCATTTAAATTTTTAACATATACATAAAATTAATACCAAGATGTGGTTACCAATAATTACATCTTAATGACAATTTTTAATGTAATTTATTTATATCTTCATTTAATAGCAATTTCTATTTGTAAAATTATTGCATTTAATAGTTACTGTTTTTTTGTTAATGTAATATTTTGCAGGCATTCTTAATGCAGTTCAACTATGCATCAACTATGAGGAAAGTTGTTGCAGTATATAAAGAATGGATTCATAAAAATGTAAGCTGAATATTTTGAATAGTTTAAAGTAAACAACATTTTTTTGGGGGAGGGTCTGCCTGAAAAATTAATATTTACAGAACTGTTTTAATGGTAATTTTGATGAATGAATTATTCTTTTTAAATGGTCAATATAAAGACATTATTAATTCAAAGCCAAATTATATGGAAAAATAGTTGAAGACAATTTAGTATTCCATGAGCCTTTTAGGTATTGTCTTCCTTTGAAAATATTATATTCTAACATATATTAATCAGAGTTGCCACGCTACCTAGAAACCATGAAAATCGGGGAATTCGAAAATTGAAAAAAAAAGTCGGGGAATTTAAATATTTTAGTCAAAATCTGGAAAACTCTGGGAATTTCATATGATGATCTCCAAAAAAGCGATTTTTACGCCAGTGTTGGAAGCAGTCTATTTCTTGGCGAATTATGTATCGCTTAAGCATCATCTGGGCAGCTGGCGTAGAGCCAGTTTTTCTCAGCTGCAGTCAGATTGTCTTTTAGAAAGGCAAAGCAAGTTTTCAGTAACCTCGAGAAACGAGAAACTCACTCACATACGCATGTGTATGTTGAATGAAAGAAAATACCTTCTTATTCTCGTATAAAGCAAAATTGGTTTAATCCTAGTATATGGTATACACGGGATTTGGTGGCATTATGAGCATTAAACGGGTCATTTAACATTGGCGAAAATTTTTGAAATCTTGCCAGGGCAGTACCGTACACTAGAAATTGAAAGCTAATCAAATTTCTAACTGGAATATGAGATTAAAACCAAACACTAACTAGTGTTGGTGTCTAGTTTCCTAATAAGATTTAAAACATCTACAACTTTTATAAACCATGATATAAAAGCTAAATTTTGAACTATTTCCAATGTAACATCTGGAATATTAGCCTTATAATTTCAGGGCATGATAAATAAAAAGCAATACCGTCATTTATTCCAATCATTCTGGTACGAATAAAGAATAAGGGGTAAAAAAATATAGTAACAATACAGTTAATGTGTTATTATATATTAATTTTTATATTGAAAAAGTAAATCAGTTTTCTCATTCAAAATTTAATACTAATTTATTTATTAGAATTGTTTTTGTTTATCTTTTGTTTACAAAATGTTTTGTTACAAATTTGGAAACTAGTTGAAACCATGATGATGCATAATGACTGTATTTGTAAATTTTGGAAAGCTGTTCAACTAAAGAGTGTTCCAATAAGAATGAAAAATTTAAATCTGAAATAAAAGACAGTTTAAAAAAAAAAAAAAAAGAAGAAAGTACCGAAGTTTTGATTTAATTGTAAAGTAGGCATGTGCAAATTATGTATGGAACAACAAATCTGTTAAATTCCCCACCTGGCCCTGCTTGCACATATGTGTTATTTTGACAAAATTTGTAATCATGGTTTGCCATAACTGTTGCAGAATTTCAGTGATACAACACCTAATCTTCTCCTTTAAAGCTTTGGTGGCATAGGTTTGTTGACATAAATGTTTGAGAGAAAAAAGTCCAAAGGCATCAAATCACAGAATATAGTTGGCCAGTCCTGGCCACTGAAGTGAGAGATTACATGAGCAGGTAATGTCTGATGTAATGATGCCATTATTTCATGTGATGTATGTGGCAAGTGATACAGTCCTGTTCGAACCACATCTTCGAGATCCATACCATCCATCTGAGGAACACAGAATTAGGTTAGAATGTCCTAATGCCATTTGCCACTAACTGTTTATGCATTCTCAACAGCATCTTCATAGCAAAATGGTTCAGTGATGCCTTCAGGCCCCAAACCATGCCGACAGTGAATGCTTAAGAACAGCAGAAAGTGACAGGTTTGAGATGCATTTCCTTCTCATGAAACATGGGTTTTTGTCATTTTAAATGCGACAATTTTTTTCTTTTATGAAGCTGTCAACATGAAAATGGGCTTCAGCATTGAGGATAGCTTTGTTAGAAAACTCGCAGTTCACTTCTTGTTGTACAGATGATGATTTTTTCACTGCACATGATCTGAAGACTTGAGTTGTTAGTCACTTGAATTCTGTAAGCAAAAAGACATGAATCTTTGAGAATATGCTGCATAGTGCTGCTTAAAATGTTCACTTCTTCAGCACATAATGTACTTCAACTCTTGGCCACATTCGGGCAAACAGGCATGATATTTTCTGCTGAACGACCTGGTCTCGATAGTCTGGTTTGATATCGAACTGGTCTCTTCAAATTATTTGATTATTCTCTTCACAGTTGATGTCATTGAAACACTTTGTTTAGCAAAAATTGGATAAAATTTGCAAATCGTTGCAGACAAACTTTTATCATTTTAAAAATAAAATTTGACAATAAGTTTAACCCTGTTGTGTTGAATAGTGATCCATTTTTAACAATGGCTGATTGTCTACTATCAAACTGTGAAATGGTTTTTCTATCGAAGCACAAGAGCAAAAATGGCACCTTTTTTCTATCAAAGCACAAGAGCAAAAAACGCTGCTTTCAGGGCACCCAATAGTTTAAATAATTTTATTAACTGTTTGGATCAAAGTTTATATTAATCAAATTTTTAGAATTTTTAAATAGAATTTTATTTTAAAGCAGTAGACTCAGTATCCATTAAATTTATTCTTTGCATATATAAATATGCGTATAAATTTGTGCTGTGAATTGGATTTATGAATGTACAATTGTAAATATGATTATGAATATAATTTATGGATTATGAATGAGTTTATGATTTATGAATTGAATTTAGAAGTTCAATCTCTTTGTTTTACTGCTTTTAGAGTCCAGAGAAGCCTCTGTTTTTGGAAGAGCCATCAGCTGCATCAGTGGAAACTAAAGAAGAAAAAAATGATGCAAGCATAACTTCAAAATTGTCTGTAAGTTTACAGTATATATAAACCTGTGTAGTGCTGTTTATGTTCATTTTCACTAGCATGATTAATGTATGATATGTGAATTAAATATGAACTTTTTATTTTTTCATGAAATACTGACAAGTGAGAAAAGTTCATATTTAAAGTGCAGTTTGATTAAAAATTAAAACTTAATTATTTCAAGATACTTTTTTAACTTGTAGTATCTCTTGATTGGGGTAAATTACTTTTCTTCAGTTAAAATTTTGCTTTTTTAAGGGAATGAGTATTTGTAGAAATAAATTTATGGAACATAGTCTATGAAGAGCTTGTGCTTTGTCAGAACGATGGCACACGAGTGATTTTCTAAAGAAATATGCTCATATTCGGAAAAGGAACCTTTCTTGTGGCCAGTCACTTCCTTTACTGGAATCAGTATTCTGAAAGAGAGAGAGAGAGAAAAGCAATAATTAATAATTGTTTTTTTTAGATAAATTAGCAATAATTTATCTGTTAGCTCTTGATAGATTAAATAAAGTGATCCCCAGAATTTTAGTGAATCAAATAACTTTTCTGGATAAAGCTAAACATCTAAATTTAACTCTCTGCCTGAAGTAATATGCATGATATATAAAGAAATCATTTAGCTGATTCACTAAAATATCGGTTGAGTAATAGTGGTTGATTCTTAATTAATAGTGTTGAGTAATTCTTAAGATAAAAATAAGAATATTGAAATGTTACCACAAGGATAATAATGAAAATTGAGAAATAAATTTCTGTAATTGATAGCTACCACCAGTTAAATAAGTACTTAGAATAGTGTATGTGTATCAGTTTTTCTTTATATGAATTATGACTACCAATTCTCTTGGTTTTACTGAGAGACTCCCAAGTTTTCTGTCACATTTCCTGATAGATCATTGAATCTTCTGGTTTTTAATTTTTACCTCTTACTAAAAATACTTCCCACAGATTAATGAAAGTTATTGAATTAATGATACTTAAATTATGCAAAGTGCATCCTTTTACCAATTCTGTATAAAGTTTCATGCTAAATTTTTTTTAGGCAAATTAATTTGCTGTAAGCATTTGTAGAACTTTTTATAAGGATTCAACTTTTTATTTCAGCATTTAATCAATTAATAATTGTATTTAGTTTTGCTTTACATGAATATAGTGTACATCATTGGATTTATTCATGCAATGCTATAAACATTAACTATTAATTTTATTTTTATTATATTTGAAAGTTTTTGTGTAATTAAAAGCTTTTGGTACTTATGTACTGTTGCAACCATCTTGGTGGAATTTGGTGATTTTTTACGGATGGAAATGTAAAAGTTACTTAATATATGCAAGTTGCTGGTTTTTGTGCTTTCTTTTTTAGAAAGATTCCTAAACTATCGATATTTTCATAGTAAATCTGGTAAACAATATCAACGTAGAAAAAGAAACATACAAACAATTTAAAATACAAATTTGGATTTTTAAATAAGGATTATGTCATACATTAAAAAAATAACTTAAATTCTTTTTCAAATCTTTCTGTAATTCTTTTTTTTTTTTTTTTTCATTATTCTTATCCTGAAGTACACAGTGATGTGTTTTCACTTAAAAAAGATCGGAGGATTGAGGATACTCTTCTTCGTGCAATCTTCAACAGAAAATGCATTTGCTCATTGTTCCCTTTAGAAAATTTTCAGCAAAATTTGGTATTGCTGCCGAAATTTTACTGTAGTTTTTTCCATTGCTGGAGAATTCCTCAATTCATATTTTAAGACTAAGTTTAAGGCAAAAAATATCACGATTTGTGTATGAAAACCATTAGAACTTGGAATACAACACAATGCATACGAAATTGACAGTGTTGCTTGGCTGAAACAATTGTTATGAGTTTAGTTTCCAGAAGAATGATTGTGCATATGATTGTGAGAGTTTGGCTCTCTTTAAAAACTTGGCTACTTCTACTAAAATCGTTGCAATAGTTATGTAAATACCAAGCTTTCTTTTCCTATTCAGGATTTTCTCAATATAAAACTTATAAAATGAAATTAGCTAAAGAACATGAAATTTAATATATTTTTCATCAAAAAATATTATAAATAGTTTTAAGATCCTGAATCATGCAATGTAAAGAGGGTTTATGTTGATTTGGAGTTTTTTTAGAATGGTATGATTGAAATGGCAAAAAATATGAAATTCCCAGAATTTCATATTTACTGATCAGCAGCTGAAATAAATGTTCCAATTGCTGACAGGTCAAAAAAAAAAAAAAAAAAAAAAAAAAAAACTTCTGTATCTTCCATTTTACTTGGCTGCTTGACATCATTGAACTTGCATTCTTCATGTCTTGAAACCACATTTGAGATTTATATACAACTTTGACCCAACATAGACATTTTGATGTAAGATCTGACTTGGCATAGAAATTTTTTTCCATATTTCGATTTCCGGGAGAAAATGACCTAGTATAAACAAGTCAATCCTGATATCAGATGCAAATAATCTAAATAATATAATTTTGACAGTTTTTAAGATCAGTAATTGCAGTATTAAAGGGGATATTTTAAAAGTTTTCTGTGTTAGTATGAATTGATGATAATAGGTTGTTTGAAAAGTTGTCATTAATTGAGATGTCATGATTATAGGGCCTCTGATTAGAAAAATACATTGAAAAAATAACAGTTCTAATAATGTTTACTGAGAGTACTGAAACATCCTAAAGGATTAATTATATGACAATGGAATTTTAACCTTTGGCAAGGAAAAGATATATGTGTGTCCTTGTAATAAAATCTTTATGTATTGATTTTGTATTGATCTGCCATTGTATGATCTCCAGAATGATGCAGTTGTAATTGCAGATGCAAGTAACTAAAAGATGTTTCGATTTTGCCTGGAAGCAATTATATTATCAAATAATATAATTTTAAGAATTGTGATTATGTTTAAAATTTATGACTAAGAAAGATTGCTCGTTTGTTTTGAGTGCATGAAATTATATATTATACAAATTATAATTATATATAATATATATATATATATATATATATAAATTTTTGAGTTGAAGTTTTTTTTCCATTATCATTTTTGTAAATGAAAGAAAATTCTGCATTATGTCAAGAGACCAAAACAATGATTTTCTAAAAGATGAATTAGGTTCCCTAGTTTTTTGAAAAACTCTAAATTACTTAACTTTTTAGTTGTGGTAGAGTGTACACTGGCAGTACAATAATTAACTTTGGCAATAACCTTTCTTTTTCAGTAACTTCATTTTTTGTCTGAGAACAATGCATAAGTTTGCTTTCCTTTCTTTGTTTTTTTTTAGTAGTATTAAACTTTTATTGTAAACATATTACTATAACTTCTTTATGTTGTTAATAAACCATGCTGTTCTCTTCTAGCAGGAATCAGGTCCAGTCTGCCAAGAACAGGAAACTCAAGAACCACAGGGAATGCGATTGAGAAAAGATTCTTATCTTAAAGCAATTCACTGTGATAATAATCATCTTAAAGCTGGAATGCAAAATATGCTGACTGTGTTCTTGACTAATGCTGCAAATGTGTTTTTGCTTGATCTCTCTCAGGATAGCTCAAGCATGCTTGAAGAACAGGTTTTTTTAATACCTTATCTATTTGTTTGTTTATTTTTTAATAAAGATTCCTGTTTTATACATTATTATTATTTTTTTTTTTTATGTCTGGCTTGATGCTTTGAATATTTTAAAATTCTCCCTTCCTATAATATGACTTTTGGAAATTTCAGTTAATAATGCATTAATTTTTATCTTAATGTTTAGAAATTAAACTGGAATAATATTTTATCAAAAGATGCATTCTGCTACTAAGTGCATTCCCAAAACACTTAACATAATTTTTTCTTGTGGTTTATATATACAGTTCTGCTATGAAAACTGAATTAAAAGTTGTTATACATGATTAAAGAATAAAGCCTAATCAATATCTTTTCTTTTAAGCAGAATTCGTGCAAAAGATTTATCTTTAGTGCATCATTTAATGAGATTTATGATTTTTAAAAGTAATTCAATATGAAATCAACAATGGTCTATAGTGTGTAAAGCAAATACACTCTTAAGATGAAATAAAGGCTCACCAAGAAGGAGTTATTGAAAAAAAAAGATGAATTTCGGTAAATTCAATGTGTATGTTCAGAAAAAAAAAAAAAAAATATATATATATATATATAATTAAATTTCAGATAACTTAAATGGTTTAATCACAAGCTATAGCCTTTTTATAGCAAATAAATTAGTAAGACATTGGCCCGTCTCTGTCTCTTTCTACTAGTGGCTTTTTCTACTGCTTTTCTTTATGTTGTTTAGCATAGACTCATAGAATTGGTGGATGACATCATGCAGGATTTCTTGCTAAATTTTGTTCATTTGTTGAATTAGATTGATATAAACTGTCTCAAGATATTACATCGTGAAGCAGTTGGAGGAGTCTGTTCATGTGATCCAAGGCATGTTCTCCTGGGGTGAGATATAGTGATCTAAGTGGGCAGGGAAATGTTTGACAAACAAGTATGTGAGAAGGGGAAGACACTAAAATGTCCCATTTATTGTATAAGTATGCATGTACAAAATTGGACGGAGTTGTACTAACTATGCAATTCCACTTACTTCTGATAGAAAATACTTTGGGGAATGGATTCAAGGGTCTCCCATGCCTCTTCTTCCACTAGTAAAGGACTCGAGAGGGCTTTCAATTTGCCAATTTCAATTTTGCTTTTTTAAATGCCACCATACCGCACAGGCAGTAAGTTGGAGGAGGAAAAGACAGGCCATGGACCAAATGCGACCTTTTTCATTGCTTAATCTGACCCATTAGGAAATCCTCTGCAACAATATTTTCTACTTTTGTACCCAATTTTGTATGCAAACTACCAAACACGAGCAATATGATTGTACATCCATTTTGTACATATATATGTGCACATATTTGTATGATTATACTAGCGTTCAGCTTAAGCTGAGAGCACTAAACAATGTTAGAAAGCATCTGAAAGCATTTATGTCCACCTGTGAATATAGCTCTATCATTTTTAGCAGCTTTAATGTAGAAATTAAACAAAGCAGTATAAATATTGTTGACATAAAAAGACTGGCCAGAAAATGGGAGCCTAGGGAAAGAACATTTCACTCCTAAATTTTTATTTAAAATCGAAACGGTATGAAATGTCATTAATTGGTAACCAATAAGAAGAGATCCCATTTTTTGCATATTTGACAAAATACGTGACAGTAAAAATGTATGCCAAGCTTATAAATTTACAAAAATGTCTGATTAATCATTGATATCTTTTCTTGCTTTGTATTTCACAAAATTCATGTGTACTGGTGAATCTCGACTTTCACACATAATTGGTTCCTGAAAGTGTGATATAATATTTAATGTTTGAAAATAGAGGAACATTTAAAAAATTATGTTTTAAGATATTTATTTATGATTAATATTGTTTATTTATCAGTGTACATAATCAAGTTAGTGAGGCATGTTTAAGCACTTTCAAATGTTTTCTTTATAAACTTGTTAAGAGTTAGTTGAATACTGCACTTTTTTCCTTTCTTGATAAAGAATTCTGTAATATACTGTGTCTTTCTCAATTGCTGTATGTACTTGCGATATATGTTCTCCATTGAGATTGCATTCCATGTTTTGCCAATATGGATGAGATTTCATTCATGTTTTTGATTGTCAAAGTCAGTTTCTTCATCACTTTCATTGTGTGTTTCATTTAACGCTTTTTTTTGTTAATTAAGCATTCATTTGACAGGGGTATTGGATGAGAAACAATCAGTTAATTATGATTATTGTTGTTGTCCAACTTTAGTTTATTCATTTGGCTAACTATTTAATCTGTGAAAATTTCTGGTGTTTCTTCAGAATGTATAAAATTGCTCATAATTTGTGGCCATAATTGTTCAGCCTATGAGTCTCCAGTATTTATATTGTAAAAACTCTCTTAATCTTATCTCTTCCCTGCCTGGATGACCTGGTTCATTATTCTCTTCATATAATATTTGTTTAAATGTATTTATCACATTTGATCCATGGCTGTAATGAGGTAGGTGATGGGGGGGGGAGAAACACACAGCATTGATTTCTGGGTATAAATTCTGCAGAGATTTTAGGCATCCTAGAGCATTATGTAATATCAGTAATGCTTTGTAAATTATAAACTTTAATCTTCATAATATTGCTTAACTTCCTCTCAGAGAAGAAAAGTGAACCAGTCTTTAAATATTAACACAGTAACTCAGAATTTTTGTTTGATTTCGAAATGATTGGAAGCAACTCTTTATATTTCCTTTTCAATGCTATCAGATTTTCTGCTTGATAAACTAGCAGTGTCTTCAATTTTAAATCACCAGAAAAGTTTCACTAAGAAGCAATATCAATCAGTGTGTAGAAAGTTCATGTCCAGGGACAACTAACAACTGATTCTTCTTTCAATAAGAATGTACAATTAGGCATTTTTTCCCCAAATAAACCCATCTGGTTGGCATTAAGTATTGGGCTACAGCAATATTCTCCATCTACAATAATTTTGGACAATGAGGAAATAAATTTTGCTGCATCTTTATCTGCACCAGCTGATTCTCTAGTGAATTTAATACTATGTATAGAATGGCTCATTTTGAATTTGTCAAATCAGCCATTGCTTGAAGCTTTTTGTTAGAATCTTCTTTTAATCTAGTCTTCCACTCTTTATGTAAATTAACAGCCTTAGGTTGAGTAATTGGAAATCTGAGAGGGATGTCATTTTGATGTTGATCTTCAATCCAAAGTCACAGAAATATTTCCATTTCATTCATTTCTATGCCATGTCTTTTGGAAGTAATATCTGAAGCTAAATTTCTACAATTTGGAATGCATTTCTTAATTTATTTTTTTTCAAAACTGAACATGTCACAGGTCTTCAGTCGGCCATTCTATAAATGAGTGATTGAAGCAAAATATTCACTGCTTTAAGAATGGCTAATTATTTTCATGTTTGTCTCAGTCATATGAAGTTTATAAGTAATTGTTGTTTGTATCAGTACTTGAGTTTCTGCATTTCTCCAGTTCATTTTCAAAAATTTATGAGGGCAAAATATTTAAACATAAACAAATGAATTGGAAAAATGCATAATGTATGGACACATCGCCTTATGTAAGACAAACCTGTTTAATACATTGTAAGTATTTGACATAAGGCCCCCGTTCCTACAGCTTGGAACCGTAATGTCACAATTTCAAGATGTCTGTTTCAGTGGGAGGCAGGGTGTGACTGAGTGCAAGTTACCATGTTCCATGGGCATGACTGCATGGAAGTGAACAATTTTTGCAGTATTGGTAAAATCTTTAAAAAAGTGAATTTTAAAAAGTGTGTGAAATAGTAAATTGTGTGAGAATTGAGGGCTACCTGTATATATTTTAAAATTCATTATTTATCTGCATGCAGGGCCATTTTGATCTTGTGTTAATCTGCATCTTGGTTAAAGTAAAAAGTTGAAAATTAAATGCATGAAATGCTATTTTAAATCGTAATTAAAAAAAAAAAAAAAATTCTGCTAGAGAGGGCTGTTCCCCTTTCTCCTCCTCCATCGCATCATGGCAAGAAATAGGGGCACTGCAAAAGATCATATTCAAGCACTATTACACTTTGCAACAGCCCTACCTACTTAATGCACCAAAAAACACCTTTTCAGTCCACGAATAAAAATATTTGCTTATCCCTGCACTAAGTGTTTGACAAGCATGAAGACAGTCAGTAGAAATAATTGTTATATGAGCATACTTTCTCATTATCTACAGCCTGGCAAAAAGTTGTGAACTTGCTGACTTCAGAGAGCAAACTTGTTGGTGACTAATTTTTCGCTGTGCTAATATGTGAAAGTGTTTTCAAAATGGTTGTGTGCTAAGACGTCTGTACAAGAGCAATCGATCAGTAAAATTTAAAATGCAAGAAATTACAATAATAAAACGCTAACCTTTTTAAAGAAAGCCATCTCTTTTGCACTGTTGTTCTTTCCAATGTTGTTTTACACAATGATCTGTTTTGCTTAAAATAATCAGAGAATTGTGCAAACTCGGCTTTGAACAATTGCTTTGCACCAGTCTCATGTGCTGTGTTGCCACATAAATACACTTTCGTGACATGGGAGGTTGCCACATAACTATTTTATCAACATATTGCTTTTCCTGATGAATACTTTTTTGTAACATTTTGGCTGAGGTACGGATGATTAGAAGTACCCATTATTATATTAAAATATAAGTCCTGGGTGCCTTTTAAAGAAGGGCAACACAACAATTGTTGATATCCTGCTGTGCTGTAAGGTTGTCATGGATGACAACCAAAGAGGTTTAAATATGACATGAAATGGCATTTTTGACCATAACTTCCAGTGGTGATAATACTCATGTCAATATCCCAGCACAATTCCCAGATATCTTCAGACATGTCTTTGTTGATCATCATGCTTCAGTTCAGAATGGGACTCATCATAAAGAGAGTTAACTTCATTCTGAGGAATTCCAGGTAAAATAAGCCTGGTCAGATGTGCTTATTGGTGTGTACAGGTAAGAAGTAGTTGGTTCATTGAGCATTGTGAGTGCTGATCTTGTTTTCTGAATTAATAGTCTTTGTGGCCATAAGTGTTCCAGTTGCACATTGTAATAACTC